CAAAGGAGCATCACAACAGGATCACAGACCACATAGGCTGGTGTTATTGACTGAACAGAGGTAGAAGAAAGCAACTATATAGGCCACACTGGGACATTTTTGTGTACTACAGGTGTTTTTAATTCAGAAAAAGACTACATTATAGCTGTCTTAATAATTAAATCACCCTCACAAGAGCCAATAAGAAACAGACAATATTGCTTTCCTAGTAGAAACCTAATTGTGATTTTTTTAAAAGTATGTATTGAGTGAACTCATTAGTTACTTTTCTTATTGCTAAAACAAAATAACTGCCAAAGCGAACTTAAGTGATAAATCATGTGTTTGTATTTACTGCACCATGTAGTCTATCATGGGGAGAGGGGAGTCAAAGGGAAAGGACCTTGAGACAGATGGTCACATTACATCTATAGTAAAAAAAAGTAGAGATAGATTTATGTTAGTGTTCATCTCAAATTCTGCTTTTCACTCATCTCAGAAACAGACCCAATGAAGTTGATCTTCCTACTTAACCAACCAAACCTAGAAAGTTCCTAAAATACATGACCAGATGCTCTAGATGCTCTCAAGCTGACAATCATTATTAACCATCACAATGAAAGAGAAATAGAAGGTGAAAAGAGAAACAAAGGGAGACAGACAGTAAATATGTCACAATGTTTATTATTGCTGAGTAATAATTCATAATTAATGGCTGTAGGATACTAATAAATCATGACAACTTGAAACGGTCAATTCCATATACTACCTTGGCTATTTTGTGGTACCTAGAAAAATGCATTGATCTTCATCATGTGGATGGAGGTAATTCAAACTCTTGAGTTCTGATGTAGAGACTTGAGTTTTCTGTATAAGAAAGATTTTACCTCATAAATAAAAAAAACAGAAACTCTCTGAAGTTTCCCATGTCCTCAGTTTTATACTTGCAATCTTCCACAATTCTATAAACTTACATCTTAAGATATTTCTGTTCACATGCTCCTTTTCTATTATCTCTCTATTGCACTATATTCCCCCTCTAACCAGAGAGAGGTATATAAACACACACACACACACACACACACACACACACACACACACACACACACTCACACCACAATGCATACACACACACACATCCAAAGCAAAGACACTCTCCATTTCTTTACAGTCACAATTTATATCCAGTGTTCCTACATAGTACATAGTAATTAGTTGTTGAATCCATTTATTGCTCTTTCCCTCCTGTCTCACTAAGAACTTTCCTTTGCTATCTAAAAGTGATATTTTTCTCCAAATTATGGCATAACTTTTCTATATGGACCTATGTCCATATTATGTCCCTTAATTATGATAGGAAATATACACTTTTACAATTGCTACTTGAATTAGGCAGTTTCTCACCCTGCAGCATGCCAACTCCATCCTCAATCTACTGATGTTATCTGCTGATTGGCCCATTACTCAGTGTTACAACTCAGTCTTTGGAACAGATTGGAAATGTCTGAGAACAAAATCAACACTGAACCCAATAGCTGGCCAAGATGCTCTAAATAAATATCACATTAATTTGTTGAATAGCCGTAGCTCTTCAGATTTAATTTGAAGACTTTGACAAGAAGTTCCATAGAATCCAAGGGAAATTAACACTTAGTTTGAAGTCCCTTTCAGAACTAAACTATGCAAAATAATACATTTTATTTTTTAGAGTGACATGTAGCTTCAATATTCAGCATTTAGATAAAAATATGAACTATGATGAACACTTAGAGATAGGTTTCTAGGCTAAGAAATCCATTCCCCAGCTTTGTATGAATCTGAATAATTTAGGAATAGCACATATTTAAATTCTGAAAATACCATCCATTTTTAAAATGTCTTGACATTTTATAGGGTCGTTTACTTTTAAAGCATACTGAAATTTAAGAAGGAAATGATTATGATGGTAACCTCTGAAGGTATCTTTGGAAAGTAACAAAGTAAAATAACTAAGTGGGTTATTTATAGCCATACACAGAACCCTCGACTTATCAAATAAGAAAACTGAAACCTGAGGACTTCAGAGATGTCACCAAATGTACCACTCCAGTTAGGGAGTGTCTGTTCTAGCTCTCTGCCTTGCAGAGTTCTGTTTCCCTCTCTTGACAATCTGACCAGATGTCTTTTGTTTACTCAAGACACTACCACAAGCTATTGACACCTACAAGAGTAATTATACAAATGCTTTCAGTGTCAAATACAAAAAAGGCAAGAGCTTCCAACTCTTTGTTGGAAAAAAAGCAAGAGCTTTACATATCATTGGCAATTAGAGATATTTTCCTGCTATGAATTCTAATTCACAAAAATAATTTTGTCTAGCAAGCATTTTAGAGCAATTAACATGTTAATTAATCATTAAGCATTAGACAGAAATATGAATAATTTGTTATATTCCAACAAAAAGGAAAATTTCAACAAATTTTAGATTATCCATGTATTAATTCTTCTATAGGACAAGTATTGCATATGGATGAAATATAAATACATGCCTCTTTGCACTGTTTTACCATCAAATACTAAAATTATGAAGCTCATATCGCATATATAAAATACATATCCTTTTTTTTTCTCCCCAAATCAAGGGGAAACACATTAAATATTTGGCCATTTCATGTTTTACATTGTTCTTTGTTTTCACCATTTGTGGCAGCTTTTTAGAACTTTGGAGAAACTGAGTCATTATAACAAGGAAAGAAGCAATAAAAAGAGAAATCTAATTACAGATGGTTGTGAGCCCTGTGTGGTTGCTTGGAATTGAGCTCAGGACCTATGGAAGAGCAGCCAGTGCCCTTGATCCCTGAGCCAAGATATGAGAATAGGGAAAGAGATATTTTGATTGAGGCAGTCATTAATGGGCTAGAAACAAAACTGACTCTAGAGAATTTCTCAGAACCAGTTAAGACCTTAAGCAATAGAGGAGAGGGTACCTGAACTGGCCTTGCCCTGTGGTCAGACTGATGAATATCTTAAATATCAGCATAGAACCTTCATCTAGCAACTTATGAAAATAGGGTCAGAGATCTGTATCAGAGCACTGTACTCAGCTTCCAAAGTCCTGTTGAAGAGTTGGAGGAGTGAAAATATTAGCAAAGAGTTTAAGACCATGATGGATACACTCACTGAAACAGTTTACTTGAGCTAGTGGAAACTAACCAACTCCAGAGGAACAGGGAAGGAACCAGCATGGGTACAAACTAGTTCCTCTGAATGTGGGTAACAGTTGTATGAGTGGGGTAGACTGCATGGCCACTGGCAGTAGCACTTGGATTTATTCCTATTGCTTGTACTGGCTTTTTGGGAACCTGTTCTCTTTGGATGGATACCTTGCTCAGCCTAGATATAGTAGGGAGGGGCTTGAACCTTCCCCAAAAAAGTGTGCCTTACCCTCTCTGAGGAGAGGATCAGGGGTGGTGTAGGGTGATAGCTAGAGGTAATGGGAGGAGAGGAGGGAGTGGGAACTGGGAATGGTATGTGAAATGCAAAAATAGTTTGTTTTCTTTTTTAAAAAATTAAAAAAGGAAAATCTATATACAAGAGAGCTCTGGGTGAGTATGGAGACCAGAAGGCAATTGGAAGAAGACAGAGGGTGGAAAAGAGAAGTGGGGAGTAGTGAGGGAACGAGAATGGGGGGGGGAAGGGTAAAGCAGTGTGATCACACACACACACACACACACACACACACACACACACACCCATGCACGCGCGCATGCACATGCATACACACACATACAGAGAGAGAGACAGACAGAGATTGGTTAGTAGCAGGAGTCACAAAGAACAATATCTAGAAGAAAATGAACAGCAGAAGCTTCTCACACACTGCTCAGAATTCAGTGACCACATAATTCTACCTCACTCTCATCCTATCACCATTTCCTCTCCGCTCATGAGGAAGGCTAACGTTTAGCTTCAGTTCTCTGTCTTTCTTCATGTGATCTACTCTCACCTTTCTCTAAGGTTTAGATTGCCTTTTTGCTGTCTCTCATCACACCTACCGCCAGCACCAACAAAAACAGAGACAAGAGATAAGATGTGATTCCAGGTCTACTATGCCATGGAAGTACCTTAGGAGATCAGTAAATATCTATCCTTCTCTCTGCCTGCCAACCCATTCTCTATACAAGCCCAACCTTGCTGTTGACCGCACCTCCACTCGCTGTTCTGGACCAGTGTCATCTCTAAGTTCTTTTCCTGTGTCTTACAGAGAGGAAAATATGGAATAATCTCCTCCACTGCTACCTCCCAAAAAGGAACATCATTTGGCAAAGATTTTCTTAGAAAATGCCTCATTTCAATCAATTGGGAGTTTAAAAGCTATGAGATTTGACAAGTTGCATATTCCTACATAATTATAACATGTCTCATGCAGAGTTTTAAGCTAGGAAGCCAAATGCAAAGTGATTTTAGCAACTTGAAATGTTAAATTGCTTGTTTGGAATGTTCCTTATGGAGACTGTTGTGTAATGAAGTGGATTCTTTTAATAAAAGGAAAAGTCAGAAGTTCACTCGGTGGATTTTAGGATACATTTGACCCAATGCTATTGCATCATTAATAGGCATTAAATGGCTTCCAAGTTAAATACACTTAGAGAAATCATTTAAAAATAAGAATATGACAGGAAATAAATTAAAGCAATTGAGCTATTAGCATTAAACAAACCCATGCATTTGAATTTAAGTGCATTCTATGGATTCACAACAGTTATAGCAGCAATTTGGAGTGCTGTGGTTGGCACAATTTCCACTATAAAATAATAAAAATAAGAGGTTACTGCAAGAATTGGATTATCATAAGCATTAGAAAACAGTTAATTTGTCTATTAAAATATCACAGTATGGCCCAGCAGACGGAAGCCAAAAAAAAAAAAACCAGTTCTTCTGTGTGCACAGGGCAAAGAAAAATTTCCTTCATTCTCATTTATTAGCAGCACCATTATGACATCATCTACTTCCATCATCATCATCATCATCATCATCTTCCTTCTATGCTCTGCTCCAATAACTGCCTCAGGTTTCACTTTGAACTGTAGTGGGGTTCTCAAGAAAAGGTAAGGATTTTTTATCACTTCTCTTGGTTGACTGACTGTCAACATGATGGTTGTAACCTCTTTGGGGGTCAAATAATCCTTTCAAAGGGGCGGCCTAAGATCATAAGAATACACAAATATTTACATTATGATTCTTACATAATTCTTTTTCTGCTACCTGACTTCCACAAAGTTATCAGAAGGATATGGTATTCCTGAAATATAGTGTCTTCTGGAATGTTTTCTTTGATCCCAGAGGTGGATCCTTTTGCGTAATAAAATAGGAATTACCATCTTCCATATATGACCATTTACTAATGGCTCACAAATATATCCTTCAGTTATATATCCTTTGCTATGCAAAAATTTATCTGTTAGAGCAGAATGGGAGATTTTCTCTGTGTATGTATGTGTGGGGATATGCATTTTCTCTGAATATTTTATAATTTGTTTATTCCTGTGGTTATATTCATAACTACAATTTAATGCTTACCTCAAATAAGAATTTATATAAATTTTATCCTTTCAAATTTCTGAATTATACTATTTTCTTAATACTTATGCAAACTAAGCACTATATAAAAATATATGTTACCTGATTTGAGTTGTTTAGAACTGTCTTTTCAAGTTTACTTTATTAATCTATACCTCTATATTTCTGCCTAATTTTATTACATACTACAACACACAATGCATCTCTGAAAGTTGTTATTATAAAACACATTAATACTCTCTCTTCCTATTCTTCTATTCTTCTAGCAAAACAAGTTTTTAAAAGACATGTAATTAGTACATTGTTAATGTTTTAATTTCACACATTGATGTAACCATAATACTCATAATTGTGTTAACCTTTTATCCTAGATTTAATTCAATTTAATATTTATTGCTACATTTTACTTTTTATCAAAAAACTAGAATTCTTCATCTTGATTTCTTCAAAATCATGAAATCCATATTTACTGGTTTGTTGTATATTCAATAGCCTTTTGCTTATACTTTAGTACTTGATAAACATTCGGCTTGCTTTGGTCAAGACCAGTGGTTCTCAACATGTTGGTTGTGATCTCTTCAAGGGTTACATGATCCCTTCACAAGGGTCGCCTAGGATCATTGGAAAACACAAATAATTATATGATGATTTTTAACACTAGCAAAATTATTGTTATGAGGTAGCAATGAAAATAATTTTAAGGTTGGAGGTCACCACAAAATGAGGAATTTTATTTAAGAGTTGCAGCATCAGGAATATGGAGAGTGACTGGAACCCTAAAGTTTATCCTTTTCTTGGAAGACATATAAGCATGGCTCTGTTCTCCATTGTTTTGCAGTCAAGTACAAAAAGAGACAATTATTTCTGTTGCAAAACTATAGATAGCTATTATGTTCTGTATGTCCAAGAAGATATAATTTCCTTTAAAAATCATTAGTTTGTCGGAAGATGACTCTATTGAAAACAATGTTTTTTTTTCAGAATATTTTAGTGTGTTATTTCTGAATATTCACCTATTTCTAAAACTTTTTCTTGCATTGTTCAATTGCATTCTGATCTATGGTATTGGTGTTTTTATTCAGAGTTTCTTACCAGAGCAGGCATTTGCAGCATGTATCTTCTCCTTCAATTCCCTGACCATTCGTTTATGTACAATTTCCTCTATACTCTTTCTTCCAGTAGTCTTCTTCATAAATCCTCCATCACTTCTCTTGTTATTGGGCTTATTTACTTCTGTGTGTCCTCTTCTTAGAGATAGTTTTCAATTTCTTCTAATCTTTTGTTTTTCAGAGTGAGGTTGGATATTTATTTAGTGGGCTATGGAAGGGAAAGGGAGAAAAAGGAAAGAGCCGAGAGGCAGAGAGAGAGAGAGAGAGAGAGAGAGAGAGAGAGAGAGAGAGAGAGCAATTTTTTTTCTAAACTTTAGTGGGATATTTGTGTCAGAGGCAAACAGTAACTTCTGACCATTCTCTGGAGGAGAGTCAGTGACAACCCTAATGATACTCAATGTCTAGTATGGATGTGAGTTTTAGAACACTTTTATCAAACTCTCAAGGACAGTTCACAATGCCACACCACAGAACCCTTCATAATCCATCAATAATCAATGTCTGTGCACAGGAGAATGTACAGAGCAGGCCAATCATGTGATAATTCTGATCCAAAGAGCGGGATATGAGATAGGTTAGATTGCACTCTTCTTTCATACTATTGGCTTTTGGAGACTCAAAGTCGTTGAAGAGATGATAAAGATTAAAGAAAACCATTGATGTGGGCCCTAATATACTGACTTTTTTCTTCCTAAAAGAGATTAAAACACAGATACAAAGATACAAAGGGAAGCCACACTTGGCAAGAGAGTAAGCAAAGGACCCTGCCAACATTTCCCTTTGAACTTGCAACCTCCAGAATCACCATAAAATAGATCTCTACTACTTTAATCAAGGTCCATGAAATTTTCCAGGTGGACCCTAGAAAATAAATGCACTATTCTTCCTAAAAGTTACTTTCCACTTTAAGAATCCACCCTGTGATTTTTTATCCCCAATTTACTCTATCATATCTTGAAGTCTTATCACAACCAAAAATAGACTTCATTGTCCTTTTAGGGCTTTCCCCATTTACTAAGTTTTGAGGTTAAAAGTCTACAGTTTTGTTAAAAGTGGAATTTTTATTACAATCTAGTATTCTTGTAGATGTAGTTTAATTTCAGATTATAAAGAGAATGTAAACATTCTATTTACAGTTGTAAAATTAGAAGAATAGAACTGTTTTGGTTTTGGTTTTCTTTGTTCATTTTCAAATATCTTAGTTGTTTACCTTATAAATAAATATAACTTGTGAAAAATAGCTAGAAATGACTGCTGGGAGAAAACAAATTTGAGCCTGGGAACATAATATAGAGAAGGGTAAAGTTGGAAAAAATAAATAAAAATATGGACTGTTACTATTATCTTTAAAAATTAGATGGAAGATATCAAAGAAATGTTGCGAATCTCTGTATAATAAATAATAATATCCAGGTAGTGATAGAACATGCCTTTAATCATAGCACTTGGAGGCAGAAGCAGGCTTGATTTACAGAAAGAGTTCTGGGAAAGCCAGTACTGTTACACAGAGAAACCCTGTTTTAAAAAGCAGACAAAAACAACAAAATGTGAAAATGATGGTAATGTCTACAGTCTCTTCCTTTTTTTAAGATTTTAGGATCAGGTAGCCTCACAGACTAACATAGAAAAGGCAATTTACTCTGTGTATCCAGGACAGTGAATGTACCAGGCAGGGTCAGCAGGAAAGGGAAGATGAAAAAGCAAGGATCCTCAGAAAGCATTGACTGCTAAGAAGTAGAGAGAAAGAGACAGAGAACAAAAATATACACCATTATTTGCTGAATGAATTAAAGAATTACAATACCTCACACACTCGGTTAGATGTATAACTTTTGATATTCTTGTATCCCAACTACAATATACTTTACTTAAGGATGAAAACTGTATGATGAATATTTTATGTAAATTTCAGAAACAAAGTATTTTAGACTTCATTTGAATCTTTCTCTTAGAACAGTGTTTAATCTCCATTAGGTGTTCAATAACTATAACTTAACCCATTAACATCTGTTTATACATAGACAATGCAGAACAAATCCAAACAAATTAGAAAGGATGGATCCATATAGAGGAAGGAAGAGGTAACAAAAGGTAATTTCCTAATTTCTGAATTACATAAATAACCAAATCCATTTCTAAAGGAGACAAAGAGAAATGTCTATCCCTATCACACTCCGGGACACATGTCACAGAGTATATAAATGTTCAGTGCAGAGTCACAGCGGGGTGAGCTAGAAGTAGAAATTAGGTTTCAATAATTATTTGTCTAAAATTTGCATCTATTATTCCTGAGAAGACCTTTGTTTCCACGGGGTTGCTCATTTGTACCTTCTTATCAAGTCAATATGACCTAAAGAACCATTAAGCGGGCTCTAATTGAATAAAGCAACAGTTCCTTCATTATTGCTCAGTTGACTTTCTGTCATTAATGAAAATGACCTTACTTTGAAAAGCTGACTTTGAAGATCATTATAGATGAGATTACTACTCAGACAGTACTTAACGTTCTGGCATGTTTTTTTTTTCTACACTGGAGATCATAACGCTGGATTTCACAGTCTGTTTTAAGCTTATTTATTCATCTGATTTAGTTTCACAGACAAATTGGTGTTTGAGAATAACATTCTCATAGTTATAGTGTATGGACTAATCTAATAAGAAAACATTTCTGCGATTATAAGTAGAAGGAGAAATCTAAACACCAGAAAAATAAAACTAGATTCATAGATGTCAGTGAAAATTTTCAAGTATGCTATAAGGGAAAGGAAACTGTATATTAAAACCATTCTAATCAATTGTACACCTTTGTCCAGCTAACTACAAATATATATATCTGTTTTGTTATAAATGCTAAAAAATAATAACTTTGCACTTTCTAGACAACAATTAACATATAATTAACCATTTTTATTTAGCAAAAAAGAACACTACTAATTTCATGCATATAATTTAACCAGTATAAATTTTCCAATTAAAATAAAATGGGTAAATTATGCTCTTTATAATCATCTTCTTTGTATCCATCTTACCAAGAATGGCCTTTATTCAGATATTATGCTCATGGGTAAGCAGATCTAATGAATCAGCAGTATCATGACTATTTTCTGTTATAATGTTTCTATTCATGAAAGTTTAATTTCTTATGTGAAATTCTGGATGTTACACGGTCCTTGACCCTTCCAATTGCTTTGTCTCAGTTCTTAGAAATCAGTGATCAGTGAAAGAGTCACAAAACAATCTCATGGTCACAAGCACACAAATTTCTAGGGTGGCATGCTTGTCTCTGCTAAGCCAGTCTCTGTTAAGAAGAATGCAGGTTCTGGATGGCATGTGAGTATTATCTTCTGCTCTGTGTTCTCCCTGGTTGCCCTCCTGTGGTCTTCAAAAGCAACATGGAGACTTCCTCCTTGTGATGAGCATTCATGACGGATGCTCATGATGCTTTCCAAGCGCTTCTAAAATTGAGGTATTATGAATTTATTAAATATGTAAGCCTTTGATGAACTATGATATGACAGTCCAAAGATATTCAATTAAATATATCTGTTTATTCAAATAAGTGATAAATGTGTGACCTTACCAAATAAGACTTTGATACCAAAGAAGATCACAATACTAGAGGTTTTCCTAAGAAAATGTGATCTATGTCTGAAGTATATTTTTGGTTACTAACCTAAAATACCATGTGAATTTCACTTAGAAGATACACCAATGTGTGACATTTATAAGTTGAATATAGACTTTGAGTTGTAACCACATGAAATGCTTCTCTTCTTTCTTTAGCTCTTTTGGCAATGTAAGTGTAATTCAGGGGCAGCATTTATAATTTTGTGCTCAATCTCCAAATCACAAGAGACCAAGTCATCTGATAGATATACATTACCTAATTTTATCCACAAAATACTCCCTGGAGATCTTTGCAATCAATTATCTTGGTTTTGATAAAGAAAATGAGATTTTCAGAGGTTAAATAGCTTAAACAAATCAATTTATCATCCCCAATCTTTGGCTTCCATTTCTGAAAAAAAGTGAAGAATTAAATTCTCAGTAGAGGTATTATCAATCTCAGTAATATATGAGGGTATGGAATAAGGTATGTGTCATTATTTGTTCAGGAATATTAATTAATGTAATTTCTTCACCCCAGCAAAATAATAATTCCTGATACCTTATGACTATAAACTTTGAGGAGAATATATGCTGCTTCATGTGTGAGTGCTGCTATAGCTAACAACATAGGTACCCAGTAGTTTTCTCTTTTATCCATATAATTCCCCAAGTTTAAATTAACTATTCTCCCCCAAAAGATTTTTTTCACAAAAGTCAACCCATTTTTTATTATATTATATTTATTATATTATATAAAAGTGAGGTAAGTCGGTGCCATTCTTGTATCTGTAGCCACCCAGCAATTCCTGCCCTACTATAAGACACACTGATCACAAATGATTCACCATGGGAGGTTTTAATTTCCTCTCCAGTTGCTATTCTAAAATGAAATTATATTCCCATGTAAAAATAAAATTCCTTACATACATTCTATTAAGTCTGTTTGTAGAGCCCAGTAATCTTACGAAATATAAGCAGTTTACAATGATATTGAATAATAAAATGTAAACGTAAGAAGAGTTTATAGGAAAAAAAAACACCAATAGATGAGGCAGGTTGAAAATGGTTAACAAAAAAAAAAAAAGTAATGTCTTGGGGCCTCTGAAAGATAACTTATCCTACAGTGTTTCAGCAGTGAAACTGTGTTCAGATATCAGAAAATCATCTTCTCATACTCTTAAAAATACACACAGCTGTGAAAGTCACATGAAAGTTTAACTTTGCAGAAAACTGTGATGTACCTTAGTCCCCTCCTCTCCTCTCTGGCAGACTTTGTGTGGCTCTGCTTCTGAGTTTATTCCACACCCACTGAAAAACACTTAATTATCTGGATGCACATACTACAGCATTTAATCATACTAATCTTTGATCCGTCCTCACATTCACCAGCCAAATAAGAATCCAAAATATAAAAATAAAAACTCCTTCCCCAAACCTCTCTGATACGTAGGCCTTGAATCGTTTTTAGATTCTGGGGATACTCTCTACTTCTCTCTGAAGGACAATATTTTCTGTGTGTTCTTTCTTTTTGGAGAATTATTATTATGACCAATAATAATTATTATGACCAATTATTCTTCCAGCTAGATGAAATCCAACCACACAAGTGAATGTCTAAATTTTGAATCTTGTGTATTTCCTAGTAAGAATGAGGTTTTTTTTTTTGTGGTCTTAGGGCAAGCACTGGAGATAAGGAATGATATTATTATATTTATATTTATTATATTTAAAGAGGCTATACACAGAAGGATGTGAGTTTGGGAATCCAAATGGGACTCATTGCATGGTATACTTGGCCTTTCTTCAGTAGCTGGGATATTAAATTGAATTAGTCACTAATAATTACCATAACAAAACTAATGAACTTGTACAAATTCATAAAATGAGAATGTTTATTTAGTACATACATGAGGGCATTCAAGGAAAGTGAGTATCCTCTGAGCTTTGTGATGACCACAATGTAAATGAACATAGTAAAAATCACACAGGAAGCCAAGAAGAAAGGGAATAGCCAGACTTATTCTGTTATCAGCCACCTCTTGTGAAAAATCATTAAAGTGCCTTAATTCCTCCCAAGGCTATGTCTCTTGCACTTCCATGAACTGCCTCCATGGCCCCAGTTCTTAAATGCCTTACAACATCTTAAAATCATGATACTCAGGACCGTGTTCCTAAGCCATGATCTCTGAAGGGACATTCAGTCAAGCCATATCAAAAACACAGTGTTTGCATTTCTTCTGTCTAGGAAGTTTACAATGAGTTTTAAATCTCACTAAATAAAATAGCCTTAGAAAATACATGTGACCAACACATCATTCCTGAAAACCGTTAACTCATGATACTGCTTAGTGTAGTAAAGTCCACCCATCAAAAACTCAGCGGTGTTTTGTCTGATGCCAAGAGACCATGACCCTTTGTTTTTCATCACACTTTGATGTAAACATGGAGAAATCTAGATGGGAGGTATCACTGCCAATGTACCTACTGTAAACAAAGAATTAGGGCAGGCTCTCTAAAAATCAAGATTGCCTTTTCTCTACACATTGCTTTCAGCACAGTTGATAATATTGGTGGTTAAGATAAATTCTGGCAGTAAAGCACATTTTGGTGGTTTCATAGGATTTTTGGATAAAGTTATGGTCTGCAGGAGAATTGTCTGTATTCTGTCAATCATGTTTTAAATAAACGCTGATTGGCCAGGCAGGAGGGGTAGGCGGGAAAACCAGACAGGAAGTGGAAATGAAGCAAAGAGAGCAGGAGAATTCTGGGAAGGAGGAAGTTGATTCCTCCCACTCCTGTCCAGATCACCCAAGCAGCCGGGTGTGTGCTACCCCACTGAAAAAGGTACTGAGCCACATGGCTAACATAGATCAGAAAAATGGGTTAATCAAGGTGTGAGACTTAGACAGTAAGAAACCTGACCTAATGGGCCAATCAGCTTTATAACTTACGGAGTCCTTTGTGTGATTTTTCTCTGGGACCAAACATCTTGGGGAGGGGAGCGGGCAGGACAGAAACCCCCCCCAACAAACAGGCCCCCTTCATGTTACAATGGTCAGTGGCTTGTCTTTAGAGAAAATTTCTTATGCAGGGTGCATGAAATAACTCATCAGGAAAAAAACAGCATTAGTTTAGTGATACAGATTTTACTTTCAGATGTACTGATGTAAATTTTCTCTCATTGAACATTCAACTAAGTTTATATCATACTAAAACTCAAAAGCTTAGAAAATAGTACCAAAAATGAGAATTGAGATGTTAAATTAAAATGTCATTTTCTGCAAACAATATATTGATATTCCTATGATATGTATTTGTGAACTTTTCTTACAACTTACCATATAAATTAGCATTAGACATTCTTCTGGACCATTTCTCTAACACTAAGTGGGATAATAAATTGTTTTAGTCATTTAAAGTACCATAAAAAAAACAAATGAGCTTAGGTGTCAACATAAAGGGATGTTTATATAGCTCATATT